CTACCTGAGTGAATCCACCTGGCTCAATGGATTTCTCTTTTATTTTCTCTCCGCTTGGACCATCCTTGAAAATATCGCTTTGTTTTGACACTTATTTTGACCCAGTGTCAAACCAAGTCATGTTGCACTTGTTGGTCCAGTTTTACCTCCGGCCCGCCTCCTCTATTCCACAGAGCTGTGTTCAGTTTTGATTCATGCATGGACAATTGAAACCAGAGGTTTACATACACATGTCGCAATAAATCAATTAATCGCACAATGAATTTTAAAAAAAAGCTTCATCATTTAAATTTGTGATTGTTTTTTTACATTTTTTTCTTTTATTGTTTTCTACCAAATGCTGTAGCTGTGCTTACATTCACCATATAGTTATGCAAGTTGGCATTTCCAGAATAAATTTTCTGAATTGGGAACACTCAGTTTAGAAAACAAAACTCTAATTTTTCAATCAAAAGTTTTGGATGAGGTGTATATATCGGGAAAAAGCTTGTGGAAGAAAACCCAAAATGTTACCCAGTTCAAAGGTAACGCTACCAAATATACTAAGAAAAAGAATGAAAACGTCAGATTTTTAAGATGCTAATTTATCATTTCTGTCTCTCATCGCAGTGGCGTTTAGTAAATCGAAATAATTTGGATCATTCTAACTCATCAAAAACAAGACAGCACTTAAATAAAACAAATAAATAACCTCAGACTTGACTCAGACTTGTGCACTAATTACTTGAGACTTGGACTTGAGTCTTTGTGTCAGTTTTGATCTCATCTAAGTAAAAGTGAAAGGAACCCAGTATGAGCTTCAGACTGCAGATGCTGCTCATGTTTTACTGTGAAATGATCCGTTTGGCTATTAAACAGTGACGTTGGTGGATTATTATCGGATGCTAATGGCTTGTAGCAATCTGTCAATGCTAGCAGCAGCTTCACAATAATGACCACCAGGATGTATCTCCAAATAAGTGCTGCATTAAGTGACTTTGAATAATTTTAGAACAGAATAAACACAACTTCTGGCTGGAAATAAAATCACTTCCTGCTCCGTTCTTTACCATTTAATGTATAGCTTAAGTTTGAATCTTCACTATTAAATGTTGATTTAGGAAATGTTTTTTTTTTTTTTTTTTTTTTTTTTTTTTTTTTTACCAATATAATCAAACATTCTCCATGTCAGAGTGAAGAGATTAAAACCCTTGAAACCAGATTTAGTGCAATATATAATGGACAAAATCAAGACAAAGATACACAGACGTACACTTTTTCTAATCGGTAAATATAACATGTTTTTTTTCTTAAATGGATTATTGATAAGTTAATAAATCAAGAGAATTGTTCATGAAGATAATTTATTTCATTCTTTTAACGCAAATAAATGACATAAAAATATTTACATTGTATGAAAAAATCAACTGAAACTATTGAATAACATGAAAATGATGGCGTGACAACTCAAATGCTTCGCTTCTGTAGAGAACTTCTCACATGGTGTGAAGATGAACTCCTTAAAAATAAGATTTAAGGGACAATTCTGAATGTTTTTTTTTTAATTTTTTTTATTTAAAGTGAAGTTCTGTGTTTTGTATGGAAAATTATTACAATTAAGACTGAAGTGGCATACAGATGGGACACATCAGCATGGGGAAACTGATCTTAGTTTATCCAAACTGAAGTTTTACTTGAAGTAAAATAATCCGAATAAACATTCAGGAGGGTTTTTTCCACAAAAACTTCAATTCAAAAATATATCAAGTATCCGTTTGCAATCTTTCACAGTGAGAAAAGTTATTTGCCAGATGAAAAATACATGAATAGCAATGCATATCCTCAGAGGAAGCAAGTGCTCTAAAATATCTTCAAACTTACAAGCCAACAGGAAGTTCTAGTTTCACCTGCAGTCACGTCTTTCTGAGAGACGCAGAGAAAAATGGCCACAGAGAAAATTAGCAGAATACTTCAGGCTCATGGTTACCAACATTTTATTTATTTATTTAATTTTTTTTAAACTTAATGATTTGCAGATACTGAAGGGCTGGTTTCGGTCTTTGGTGCTTATTGAACAGTTTTGAAGTTGCATTAGTTGCAAGAGTTTGACATGACTTAAAGTAAAATAATCCTAACAGCTAATTTAATGATTCATCCAGCTGTTTGGAGTTTGAGATTAATTCTGATCTGTATAATCTATGAGCGTTGAATCCAACAGATGCTCTAAAGTTTTGTGTTATTTTATGATTATTAGTGGTGTTGTTCAGACCTTTTAAAAGGAAATATAATTATAATACTTCTATTAATATAGTTACCTTTTGTCAGCAGTAATACTCATATTATCAGCACACTCCGTCGGGTTTGAAGTGCCTTTTTCCTCTTCCTTTTCTTCTTTTATCTTCTGCTTCACTGACTCCGCTTGTCCTTTTCCAGCTCAGCCAAATTCCCCCAAAACACGTTCAAAAGTCATGTTTTAAACATAGATGTGCCAGATTATTTTTACTTTTTACCATATGTGGTAGAAGGCAGATTCATCCAGTGATGTCTCTCATCTCTGCTGTGAGAACTCAAATGGTTCGCTTCTTTAGAGGAAAACTGATGAACTCCTTTACAATTCTGCTTGTTTATATAAAGCCATCTGTAGACAGTAAAAAAAAAACCCAAAACATATCTGCATGAAATTAAATTCAGTCCAGTTTCAATTCAAATCGATCTAATCATACAGGTGACATTCATACAAGATCTTTACATCTGGATGAAGCAGATTATTCTACCATTTCATTGACCATCATTGGCAGAGATTGTATGCCCAAATCCTGTATTTCTCTCTGCCTCCCTTAATAACCTTATGGCCAAAACAAAAACTTGAAGATGAGTTTTGCTTCCCAGTCTAATACCTTACAATTGGACCTCTCTCTCTTTAAAAACTCCTGCTGTTTCTGAAACTCCATCTTTAACGACGGTTTCACTGAGAAGTAGCTTCTATAATGAGCTCAGCAGATGTGCAGCTCCACCAACTTACCAATTGCTGCTGGCTAGTCTGAAGGAGCTGAGTGGCCTGTGAGGTGGAAGCTTTGACGCTGCAGCTCCAAGGAGGAGCTCGGTCCTCGAAGGCGGAGCTAGGTCCACCCAGGTATTTCACACAACTCAATTTTTGCCACGGGCAAATCAAAGCATTCCTCAAACATGCCTGAAAGAATCAGAAAGAATGTTTTTGCTGAGGGAATAACATTATTACATGACGTAAAGCTCAAAAAAGTTGATTTTACACAATATTGCCTCTTTTAATTCTACGAAAACTTTTACTTTTTTAAAATAAAATAACCTTAAACTACCTTTAAAATGCCAAACCCCCCCAGCAAATTAGGAACTTCAGACACCGCTAACTTACGGTGCAAAGAGTATTTGAGGCAAAATCTTTTGTAGGGACCATGTGGATGAAGAAAAAAAATAATCAAATTGTCAGAGTGACTGACTAACCCGGCGCGGTGCGGCGTGGCGTAGCGGGTTCCAACGAGGGCTGCACCCACCCTGCGCTCCATCCTGCCTGAGCGCCACGCAATCAGGCCATGACAGCGAAACCTTCCCCGGGTTACCATGGCAATCAGAGGCAGTGCCTGTGAGGTCGGTCCTATGAGTGTGTGTGTGTGTGTGTGTGTGTGTGTGTGTGTGTGTGTGTGTGATTGAGAGACACAGAGAGAGTGAGTGATGTGCAGCAGAGCAGGCGCGGCCCTCCTGGGGTCCTCATTCGTTTGTCTCTCGCTGAGACCACAGGAGCCCCGCTGCAGCAGAGATGGAGGTGGGGAGGGAGGGGAGCCGGTGGGGCCTGGGGGGGCCGGAGAAAGGCAACTGATGTGGAAAGAAAGGAAAGGATGAAAAGATGTGAGAAAGGTGCCAGAAGAAAGAATGAGAAATTGAAAAAGAATGGCGTGAATTTGGATCGTTTGAAGCCTTTTGTTCGTTTCACTCATCTAATGGTCGTGTGCGGAGTGTGACATGAATCTTGACAAAACTCTTATTTGAGAGGGAGGGGGGGGGGGGGGGGACGCGGTACACTTTGGCAAATTAATTGCACCAATTAGCGGGGCACTCAAAATTCAAAATTTTAATAACCTGTCTACCACATAGTAGGCTCAAATGGCTCGAAACGGCACTACTTCTCTCATGGCTCCGTGGAAACGCAATAACATGACAAGTGCACTTAGGCATTACCGAACGAACAAAACAGGAAAAAATTAGGCATGGATCTCATAAACATTATCTCCAGCTTTCAGTGGATTTTGATTCCTCCACACAGAGGAAGAGGCTGCACAAGCAGAGTGAATGAGCTGACACCAAACGCCGTCGTTCTGCTTCCTTTAATCTTTGCTTTAATTCTTCGCCACATTGTAGACACTTGGGAAAGAAAAGTGTTTGTTTTTTTTTCTCATTGGACTGTAACTCTGTTCTTTTGCTTATGCTGACCAACACAAAGAAATAACATATTTATTGATTCACTGAACATAAAAAAAATCACTTCCACTTTCTCATCCTGTTCTTTATGGACAATAATATTCCCCCTGCTTATTTGTTATTTGAAAAACTTTTTCAAGTTTCTTTTCATACTGAGATATATAGGTTTTTTTTCTTTTTTTTTTTTCCTACTCGCACCACTAACACATTTATGTATCTGTAAGTATTTTTAGTGACGCTTATAGTTTTTCAGTATTCTTTCTGTTCTCCGGTGGCCAAGCAACGGCATTTCGTTGCTAAATTCACTATCATGTGTTTGTGAAATGACAACAAAGTAAGCCTAAATCTATATTTATAGGTGTAACCGAAGATTTTACTGAATTGAAATATTTAAAGAGACGGCGCACATGTTTTCAGACATATCAGTGATTTTGTCACGCTGGTGTGTCGGTGTTGTTTTAAAAAATACCAGAAATGTTATCGTCTACTGAGACAAGACAAGGCGCATCGCTAAGTTAATCCAGCCTAACAAAAATGTTTCTAATATGTTGTTTTCTGTATCTTTTTAGGTGTGGATCACACCAACAAGGACCTGAGGAAAAACTTTGTGAGTAAACCAAATGTCAGTCCCATGTAAATGAAACATAATTGCACAACAAATCAGACGACTGAAAAACAACGCAACACGGGCGCACGCGCCCTTGACTGAGGCTTGAATGAAAGGCCATTTTATTCAAGAGAAAAAACCCGTTTCGTTGCCTCGAGCGTGTATAGCCCTGGCATAATTCTGTCTGGCTATTTGACCTTTCATTTTTATCGCAAATGAGTTTAAATGAGTCGGTTTCCTGGCACTGACCTGGCCGCTCAGCAAAGTGTGTTCATTTTAAATAGAGTAGAGGTCGAGGCTGTTCCAGAAGCTTAATTTTAGACCACTTTACCCATTTTGATGCCATTTTGAATGTGTAAAATCCACTGTCTCAAAGCGTCAAACCATCGGACACAAATTTGCACCTCAGATCAAAGGAATGAACGTTGAAAAGCACAAAGACGAGCTAAGAAAAAGGAAAAAAGTTGAAAACTATCAAGGATTTGAATGTTTTATAGTGAAACAAGACAATGACCGACTGGAGTCAAGGTAAAGCTTTTCGACTTCAGAAAACTGTACCAGCTATCTCGCACAGTGGTGGATGCATCATGCTGAGGGTTTGTTTAGCTGTCAATTGGTGAGTAATTATTATTAACCTGGCATGTTAGACAAGTAAACCAGTTAGGTTTGGCAAACTTGATTTGATTACATGTAAAATATGAACTCATTGTTTTATATTGGAGCTCCATTCTATTTTTTCAGTATGATGACTTTGACTAAAAATGAGTAAGAATCAACTAATGCTTTCAAATACAGATAAAAATGCAGCTTTTAGCTATTTCTCAGTCTTTTCGTGGAATAATTTCAAACAGTTTGCACAGTACACTTAATTTTCTTGCCATTATTGGAAACGATATATTTCTTTATATTTTATCACCTTCATAAATATAAAGGTCTAAGTCTTTTTTTCTTTTTTTGGCTTAAATGTCTTTTGAAATCAACGAGATGGTGATTTTTTTTTTGTTTGTTTGTTTTATTTCAAATCACAAAAATGTCTGTTTGGTTTTTTTGGCCAAAAAAAAAGAAAAGCCTTAGGCCACTATTTAAGGAAGGTAACAATTTTCCACTGTCAATATTCCATAAAATAAAACAAAACCTTCCACTATTTGCAAAAGTTTCATGCATGAGATTACTTTAAAATAATAAAATTGTTCTTTAGAAACAACACCAAATTTTATGCTGCAGATGTTTATCAAAACACACAGGATCTTTTTTTTTTATTCAGAAAGTCTTATTTCACTAGACTGAGAGCAACAACCTGCCTGGTTGCATTGAAAAGGCTGCAGAACTTTGACCCAGACATTAAAATAATCACCGTCTCACTGGGAGACGTGAAGCCGTTAGCCTGATGTTCTTCTGGCTTGCAGTAGAGCATGTGTGTCGCGCGGCGCCGCTTGCTGTTGCCTTGTCATTTATAATCTCGCAGGCAGTTGGAGGCACGCAGGCCAACTTGTACTTTGTCAGAGCAGATTGTCTGGCATGGATAAGCCTGGTTGCAGCAAGAGAGATACATAATTGCTCTTGTTGAGTGAGCTGCCAGGACGTTTGTCCTCTTCCTCCCGTTGAGCCTATACGCAGATCCTCGGCTATGCTCACTCTTTTAAGGCAGAAGGCATATAAACTGCACCGGCAGTGACAGCGGCTGCCGTCAGTCAAAGGGAATATGTTGACAGACTAACACAAGTGCTAGTATTCAGAGTTTTTTTTGTTGTTGTTTGTTTCTGAGGGATTCCTTCATTTCCTGTCATGTCATTCTGATGTTTTGTGTTGAGTGCTGTTTGGTCCCGCACCGCGCTTCATTTTTTTTCTCTCCGGCTTCCGCAGGAGGCCCTCGCCAGCTTTGACCTGCGGGCCTCGCACGGTCTGTCTCATGACCCCATGCCTGTCAGAGATGAGGAGAACAGGTAGTGATTGTTGTTCTTATGTTCCTTTAGTATTAGTAGTATTGTAGTAGTAGTATTATTAGTAGTATCAATAGTAGTAGTATTTTGGACTCAAAGTCAGCTGTAGCCGTCCTAAAAGCCAAAAGTACAAAGTGCCTACGTTGGGGTTCAAATAAGCAGTAAAACCAGACAACATGACAAGAGGAAGACTTTTACAAATTATTGTTTGAGGCCCTCAAGTTTACTTCCTGAAATAATGGCCGGCCATTTTTTGTCAATTTTTGTTTTGGCTAAAACATCTTTTTGAAATAAAGAGGTGGAGATATTTTTTGTTTTGTTTTGACAAGATCGCTTTTGGCAAAAATAATGACTTGGACCAATTTTTTTTCGGAACTTGACGAGTGGCAGAAACAAAATGCGTGGTTTTACACAATGGTTCACAAACGTCCTCAGGAGTCACTAGATTTTGAAACTGTCTTTTGCAGCCACAGTTATGTCACGTTTTTCAGATTTGTGAAAAATTAGACATATTTTATTTTTTTTTTTGCATAGTTTTGACACATTCTCAGGTTAAGGTCTGGACTTTGACTGGGACATACTTTCAACAGAATATACTTTGATCGAAGCCATCCCACCATAGCTCTGGTTGAATACGTTTACATTGCACCGATTGCAGTTTTCTGGACAATCGGCGATTTTAAAAACCCTAATCTGCCGATTATGATTTTGGTTGATACATTTTTTTTTTTTTTTTGTCTGGAAAGTCGTTAAAAATATTGACAAAGTTGCGGAGTTGACAGCAGCAGGGTGGCTGCTAACATACTCGGTTCTTTGTATTGGTCTATCACATAAAATCCCCTCAAATATACAAAGAATATTGTAGCAAGAATACAACAAAAAGTGAGAGAGACTCAAGGTGCGAGGAAGTGTATCTATTAACACATTTTATCAATTTATAAAACATCACTTGTAATTTAAGACCAGCGGAAATCTTTTTTTCTTTCTTTTTCCTCCCTCTCTTTCTCTGAACAAGAAGAAATTCCCAGTGTCCTCGTCTCCTCTTTTGATCTGAACCAATCAACATGTACCCGCGCGTAATTATTTGTCCTGGCACGGTTGCCATGCGTGCTCAGATCAGAACATCCAATAAAGAAGAAAAGTCTCATCTCTGCCTATTTAGTCTCAGTGTGTGGCTAACATCTCATTCCCGCTCTGTTTCAGCCATGGTACGCACTGTGCCGGCGAAGTTGCTATGGAGGCCAACAACTCCTACTGCGGTGTGGGCATTGCCTTCAATGCCAGGATAGGAGGTGAGGAAAGCGGTCCAGCTTTAGGAGACAATGGGAGGCAGTGTGGTGCAGCGCTCCAGCCAAGAATGCAACATGGGAGCTGAATCTTTGTCAGAAATGCCTGTTATGTTCCAGAGTCGCTCTGTTATTACTGCTGGCATGACTTGGCAATGCAGCGACAGAATATTTATATATGTATAATATACCTGCAACTTTTTGGCTCTGCTAATGTTTTAACAGTTTCCCAAGAAATAATTGCATTGAATTTCCACAACACTGACTCTAAAAGTACCAGAAACACATTTTCTCACTGCGAAAACACAAAATCTTTCTGGTTTCTAGTGTATCTTTTTACATTTGAAATAAAACAAAACTATCTTAAAAGTAACTTTTCAGCAAGATATAGAGGCTTGCTTTAAGTAATTAATTCCTTAATATTGATGAAAAATTATTGGTTCTATTGGCAGACAAATTGGGAAAAATGTCTTGTTGTCCGTTTAAAAAATTTGCCAATGGAACTAAAACTTTTTCATCAATATTGAGAAATTATTTACATCAAACAAGCTTCTACATCTTGCGGAAAATTTTCTTGTAAGTTGGTTTTTGTCTTATTTTAAGTTTGCTAAGACATTTGCACTGGAAACTAGACAAAAAAAATTGTGGTTTTGCTAAGTAATGACAAAAGAAATATAAAACACATTTGAAACCATTTCAAAACACATAGATTTAAAAAAAGAGACATAAGTATTTTTTCTCACTGTCTGAATTTCAAAAAGACCAAACTTTTCTTGCTTTAGGTTACTGAGAATGACCAAAATTATTTCTATTTGTTAAATGTCAGCGATGATGGGTTTTTGGGGTTTTTTTCTTAGAGATTTTTCAACTTTCCTAAAATTAAAAAAAAAAAAATACTTACAGCTGGTCAGTATGATGGATTGCTGTCTTTTTAAAATACATAATAGGGTAATAAAAGTTAGAAAAAAATCTTAAACAGATGTTCTTGCTGAGTCTTCTGGCGTTTATCAAACGGAAGTAATTTTGGTAATTCTAACTATGCTAAAACAAAGTACTGTTGTACTGTTTTAACTTCAGACAGTCAGAAAAAATGTCCTTTTGTTTTATTTTAATTTTGTTCTTTTTGTCATTAGTTTGAAAATGTGCCTTTCCTCAAACATAATTCTCTACATGTACATATAACACCCTGCAGAAGAAAATGTATCGAAACTATTTTTCACATATTTTAATGTGTTTGCTTGGGGTGTAAAATTATAAATCATTTTCAACTTGCCATTTCTAAAAATAAAATGTAAATAAAAACTTATAAATTATTTTTATAAGACATTCCCTTCACTCAGTTTTATTATCATTTGACCTATGCTTATTTTTTTTTCACAAAATCAAAGCTCTTGCTTGTCGGAATGTTTTTTTTTTTTTAATGTCTATAGTTGTTAATATCTGTAGTTTTTCCTGGTATACGTGTGAACTATATTTATATGTCTGTACATCCATTTGATAGACAATAAATCTTCAGTTCACCGATGCAGCCTGTCTCCAGGTACCTCATATCTCACGCCGCTAATCAAATTTAGCACAGTCAGTCTGAGAGCATGAAAATAGAAAACAAGATGCATCCTTCAGCTGAACTCTGACATTTGAACTCTGAGCTCGGGGTCTTTTATCCGTGTGCTTCAATCATTTGCCCCAGAAAGCATTTTGCAGAACTCAGAGGAAAAAAAAGGGAAACCCTTTATGAGGCGAGACCAGGAATATGTTTCCACAGTTAGTCTTCGTTTTGCCTTGTTGGGTCATAAACAGAATCTAGAGCTGAGGAGACGAAGGGCTAAGACCCCCATGACAGAGGCACTGCAGAGAGCGGGGGCCATGTTGTCTGACATTCAACAAAGTTTGTCACTCTTTGTAAAACTGCTTAGGATTATATTGCACAAACCTTCAAAGTAAAGGATTTTAGTTGTTTTACTGAGTATGGTGTGTCTTTGAGGACAGACAGTGTTCTTTTTAACACGTCTTTTTGTCTTTGGCCCAGGCTTATAATAGTTTTGTGACTTTATAGTTTAGATGTGACTTTTTGTTTTCCCAAACCTTCACGCATTCTTCAGAACAGATCTTCGTTTTGGAAAACAACGATTTTGATATGACAACTTTTTTACAGATTAACCAGTGGAATAAAAGTGATACGAGGCGACCAACTCTCTGTTCGACCAGCAGACGTAGTTTTGGAGTCTGCCGTGGCAAAGTGGGCCTCTCTCCGAAGAGCGTAATGACACATGCGAAGGGTCAATACAGAAGTGAACTTGCAGTCTGCGGTGTTGCATGCAAAAACGGCACAGACTGGCTTTATAATTCAAAAGTGTTCTCTCCTTTAGCGCCTGGACGTTCTCCACGTCCATTCGAAGGCGGCGGCTCTCGGTTCCATCTCCAGCCTCTAATTGGACGGACGCTGTGCCAGCCACAGTTTCTGAGGGAACATCTTGCTGTTTTAAATTCGCCGAAAGGAGCCAAACTGTTGCTAAATAATCCACATCTGACTTTGATTTTACTATTGTAGGTTGTAAAGTGAATCGCTAAAATCAGCTCGCAGAAATCCACGATAAAGGCATTATTAAGAAATATCATAACATTTCATCTGCTTCATTATTTGTACCCTGACTCAGTATTTTCAAAACACATGAATATGAATTGCGCATCACCTCTCTTATTCAGATTTAATTAGATTGCAAGGAACATTTTGTACGGTGTTGTCATCCACTTATTTCAGATTATAACACTGGATTGTTGCTTTGTCTCTCGAGAGTTCCCAGTAATGCTGCAGCTGATAATTTTGTGATAGTAAACAATGGGGATTCTTGTACTGAAACAGTGGGAAGTCTGACATTTTTTTAAAATTTGCTGCCTTCCATCAAAATCCTGATCTGTGCGACTGCTTCTGATTGGTCCAGGTATTCGTCTGCTGGACGGCGTCGTCACGGACGCCATGGAGGCCTCGGCTCTGACCTACAACATGCACTTCATCGACATCTACGTCTGCAGCTGGGGCCCGCGGGACAACGGGGCCGAGATGGACGGACCGCACCGCCTGACGGAGCGAGCCCTCCGGCTGGGAACTCAAAAGGCGAGGCTTTCATTTCCCAGACTTTCCCCTCTTATTGCCTGTTACATCGAAAGCCCAGAAAATGAGGAGCTGTTACATTTCACTGCTTTTCTGTGCTTTATCTGTTACAACTTTACACATCTTTCTTACAGCAAGTGGTTAAATTTTAGGGAAATTAAGACCACTTTGCTGCTTTTTAGTAAGAATCCCAAAACAAGCAAAAGAACCTAAATCAAAATGTAAACGTCTCTTCGTTCTTCCTTTTCTTCCCCAAAGGAAAAGTTGAATTAGTTGAATAACAGAGTTCAATAAAAACTCCCCTTGTCAAGACAGATGTCGCATAAAAAGAGCAGAGTTCAGATTTATGTTTATATTTCCCTGTAAGGACCGACTGCCTGTAACGAGCCAACATGCCTCAGCTGAGACCTGCCGGTGAGGCCCGATTCAAATCGCTAATGGAGTTAAATGCAAGGTCTGTTATTAATTGAGTGCACTTAATCACATTTAAATTGAAAACCAGTCGTTGACAAAATAAACATTTTCCGTTCTAAAACTCTTTTTGCTGCTAAATCATTGAATGAACAAACTTGAGAGCTCAGAAACAAAGCTGTTTATTGTTTTCAGTTTGTTATTTCGTGCAAAGCGCTGCTCAGCTGTCATGTTTCGGGAAGTAATTTCTTTGAAAAAAAAATCCCTCTTTAGAAATGTGGACTGCAGATGCTGACGTTAGCTTCTGCTGCTGCGACATATTTACCATTTAGAGGCAATGAATGCTGAAGCTATGTTTTTTTTTTTACCAGAACAAAAATGACTTGTTTGTGTCTATGCAGCCTCTTACACAACACCTGTGATGTACTGTGTTTAATGTGCAGCATTAGCCACTGCAGACTGGGATTAAGTGTCAGGTCTTTCCCCAGAAAACTTTTTAAGCCCATCATGTTGTTATTGGAGGACATTATTAACAATACCTAAACACCAACTGTATAAAAAGTCTAAGATTCAGGTTCTTGTGACTTAATAATGACACCTGACATCAGGCCACTTGTGTCCTCATGCTGACCATACTATGTTTAACCTGTCTTTGCTATCACAGTTTATAGTGTATATATTTATATATATGCATAAAAAACAAAACTATAATAAATGCTAAGCCTGGTGGGGAGGGAAAGAAAAACACTTATAATTCACCTGAAAAAAACGATGCTGTGACGAAGCTGTCTGCCAATCACATCACTTTCCCTTCCTTCTTGACTTGTAGGACAAAATGATCGCATCCATTAAGTTTGGTGTATTGATATGATTACTAATATCAACAAAAACAAATGACATCAACATAAAACCATTCTTGTGTTCTAATGTGGAAACTGACTCTCTACTTTTTGACACATTTAAAGAAAGCGACCTGCTAAGTGGCAGCAGATGGACGAACGGGGTGACAAATGGACAGATGCTAAACCAAGTCAACGTTTTTCTTCCTTCAGGGCCGACGTGGGAAGGGCAGCATCTTTGTGTGGGCGGCAGGTAATGGTGGAATGCAGCACGACCACTGCGGCGCAGACGGGTACGTTAACTCCATCTACACCATCGCCATCGGAGCCGTCGCCCAGACGGGGAAGCCCGCCTACTTCGGTGAGCCCTGCCCTGGAGTGATGGCCGTCACCCTGACAGGTTCCAACGTGGGAGACTCGCTGCCTTTGGTTAGTGTGTCAATACCTTCTAATACGTCTAACAGCACTGTCTGGCTCTAATGACTGTATATATATGTGTGTGTGTGTGAACCAGCAGCGTGACTTTTAGGCTGCTCTGAGCAGAGCGAATCCTGTTAAAGAGCAGCCACTGATGTGATATTTATCGAGGCTTGCCAAATGACCTGGGTGATTGCCGGGCAAACTCTCGAAGACATACAGAAACGAGTGTTAATTGGAGGTAAAGAGTGGCTGTAGTGGCTGAGAATGGGAGAGGAAGGAGCTGAAGTGTTGATGGCGGATGTAACACGGAGAAAAACCATGAGAAAATGTCTCAGCGGCTCCAGAACTGGAGAAACTGAAAGGCCAATTTTATCACTGCGTTAACACTTGGCTCTAGTGGGATGTATGCACTTTTTGAACTCCTCCTTTGGACGGAGGAGGATATAAGTTTTTTTTATTAACGTCAGGAGAAAATTGTTTTACATTTGCTACTAAAAGATGAAAGGATCACAAACAATAGCTGCCATTCCATTACAAATGCGCACAAATCTTTTGTCTAAATTCTGCTAATGTGAAAAAAAAAACACGACAACACAGTTTTGGACTCGCAGTGTTTCCAATAAATAAGAAATAAAAGTAAAATCACATGTGAATAAGATAGTTCACGTGATAAGTCATTGAGAAGCAGCCATCAATCAGGCGCTGGAGCGACAGGCCTCTCATACCTGGCAGCGACTGCGAATGCAGCATTTCAGGAAATTCTAGTTGGCAATTTTACACAGGAGTTATGAATTCAACACATTAGAATGACACATAATGTTTTCTGAACTGCGTGATGCTGTGAGAGCTCAGGGGGAGCCAGCTGCTCATCATTCAAAGGCCCCAGAAACAAACCATTGTCCTCCTACTACTTCCTGTTGTTTTTTTTGTCGTTTTGCCGGTAACCAACAGCCGCCTGTTGATCACATGGTGCGAAAAAAAATGTTCTTTGCAGTTTTGTGAAATGCATCTATTTCCACAGAGGAAAAACCACCTCTTCCTCCTGCAAAGACATTTTATCAATAACTGAGTTCTTGTGAAATTGCCCTGTTTAAATTAAATAAATTTATCTTTCAATTTGTGCTACTTTATGGTTAATGCAAATGCAGCTAATGGTGCTCTATGGGAACTCTATCTATAAAGAGGGTGAATCCTGTAGAAATAACCCACATATGTAAGACTTTGTATTAGTAAATTTATGCCATGTCTGTTACATAGTTCCTGGATTTCTCTTCCTTTAGTAAGTGTAGAGTATTTTTTCCTGGATGTTCTAACCACTGTGAATAACTTCACAAAATGAATCTTTTTTTTAATCAAGAATGCACCAGATCCCTTGCAATAGATAGAAGAATGGGATGTGGTATCCTGACCTGCGTCTGTTTTGTTTTTCATAAGGTGACTGTGACCAACACTGGAGATGGGTGTGTCACGCGCTTCCCAGGAACCTCCAGTGCTGCTCCGATTGCTGCAGGGATTCTGGCTCTTGCTTTGGAAGTGAAGTAAGTGTCAGTCAGTCCTCTGATCCTGCACACCAATAGTATCATGATGAAACACACAGGCAGGGACTGAAGCAGGCTGAGACGGATCGTGTGACCTCTGATAGGTCTTTCTCAGATATATGGGTATTTGTTTGTACAACTTTTTGTAATTCGCGGCTGTTATACACCGAGAAACACCAAAAAAATATGTATTTATTAGTCATTCATTGAGTTTATTCCTAAATTAAGTGGTTAAAAAAAATGGTAATGGCCTGACACCAAAGCGCTTCGCAAAAAAAAAAAAAAAAAAGTGTTATGTGTCTTTTCAAATTATGTTTCTCTTTTTTTTCTTAGCTGGAAGATTGAGACTGATTTTGTATTTGCCAATCAAAGCACAAACTTTTTTAATTATTTTGATGGCGTATGATACCCACCTACACTTTGATGCATTGTATAGAGACAAAAAAGAAACATTCGTTTCCAGGAGGAACACTGTAAATAACTTCACAAAATTTCACCATGGAAACCTCACCATAGACGTGGATACTAATTGTCTATTAAATGTTGTGTAACAGTTGTTGTGTTACACTAGATGTCACATGACTTGTGACGTAAATGTACATAAAGATGTATAATTGCTAAAATTCAATGAGAACATGTAGATGAGGGAAATCTGTAATAAGGTTGTTTTTCACATTACAGTCCAAGCTGAGTGAACTCTATATCTTCCATAAACATGTTTAGCTTTTTCAAAACTTCTCTTCTCTGATAGTCCATATCCTTCTTCCATCCTTCCCTCCTGAAATGGAGTCACACTTTATTGCCTTTGAGTAAAAATCTTCTCATTTATCCTGAAACATTAATCAGAGACGTAAAGCTCCAGCACCGGTTTACCTTTCAGCATCGACAATGTCAAAGCCGAGTCATCATTCGGAGGTACGTGACTTAAATGTTGCTTTACAGCAGCCTCAGCAGATCCTTTCCAACTCGTAGGAGGTTTAGCAGTTTTTGCCGTGAGACACGGGCAGAAATCCCAGTGTCTTGGTTTGCCAAACTCAGAGATATATTCTCAAGGGATTTGTGGCTTAATTAATTGCTGTAAAAGTGGGCTCCACAAAATGCTGGTGGCGGGGTAGCAGAGCAGGGTAAGGCTCCAGGGCTTAGTCAGTCAGTCTGGTTTCTTTCTACTCTTTCTCATATCTTTAACGCCCATAAAGTTGACAACATGCTGCATTGATTAAATAATGTGAAAATGATCCATTTTCTTTCTTTAAGAGAAAAGTATGAGAAGAGCATTTGAATTATGTCGTACCTTTTCCAGCTGTGATGCAGTCAGTGGTTATTTGAAGCAGGAGTAGAGGTGACATCACACTGTGTGTGGCGAAGAGCTGAGCTGGTTAGAAGAAGCACAAAATGACGGGCTCTTTGTTTTAGTCTTATTCAAAGTCTAAATTAGTGATTATCTCAAGTAATACACCAAAAATACTCTCTCATAAAGTCTCCTAGGAAAAGGCTTGGCATTTCCTAGACTAGAGTATGTACCCAGAATTATTCAAACATTTGGCTTATTTAGATTTGAACCATTTTTTAAAATTATTTTACCAACATACTTTGACTGACTAGAAAGTAAAATTAATGTTTTGGATTAAAGATTAGAGTGATAAGAAGGAAACCTTCCGTCCTAAAAACCTGGAGCTCATTCCAAAGGATAAATGATCAAAAATACGAGTGAAGACATGCAAAATGCTGGTTAGCAGTCATAAGGCGGGTTTGCTCTGATGCCAATAAAGTCTTTCTTATTGGTCATTGACTGTGTTTCTGCTATCTTCTTATTTTTGAGACATGCCTGACTCATTTCCAATCAGAAACAACCTTCTTGGGGCTTTTACATGCCTGGAAATTGTTTTCAATTTAAATCGGTCAGAGGTATAAATAATTTTGGGCCTAACTGAGCAGATGTTCTGAGAAGTTGTCTCCTATTTGAGCAACGCTGAGTTTCCTTTACATATGTCCAAAAAACCTTGTCAATATTCTGCTAATGTTGAAAAAGCAAAATCTCGCAATAGTGGTGTTTCCATTAAATTAGAGACGAGGTTAAAGTCACACCTGAATAAGTTTGATCACATGATAAGTCATTTAAAAAACATGCAGTGTCGTGATCCTCTTACTACTTCCTGCCATCTCCTTCTTCCTGGTTTGCGCCAGCGGCAACATCTGACTTTTGATCACGTGACTCGTGTGATGTGAAATAAGCCATTTTTGATACGTCCAAAAACTACCTCAAAATTATTTTTCATCAAAAAACAGAATTTTCCCCAAAATTGGCATGTTTCCATTGAGCGAATTTATTGTCAAAATGTCAATTTGAGCAGTTATATGGAAATACATCTAGTGAGCTCGTACAATCTCGCAATGGTTGTAACAAACCTGTCATAGGCTGTTAATCAACAGGTGACTTGGCGTATCAGCTCATTGAACATTAATCAAATTATCAAACATTTACAAGATCTAGGAAGCATCATTGATGCTGTAGTGTATCAACGAGAGAGGACTGATGAGTCTTTATTTGGTGAATTGAATTGCTATCAGCCTGAGTTAACGAAGGTCAACAAAGGGACAATATCAGCGAACATAATGCCATATCCCTCCCAATTTCAAATTAAATTGCTAGAGTTAGCTGCTGTACATTGATTAGTTTGCTACCCTCCTTTTATTTTGATTCATGCACACCTCTTTCAACCTAAAATTTCTTATTTTCCATCCATCTTTTTTTGTTGTTGTCGACATTCACTCCTCTGTCTTCGTTCTCCTTTGTCCTGTGTCTCTCTCCCTGCCGTTTCCCAAGCCTTTTTCTGATTGCTCTCAACACGGCAGCTGCTGGTGTGACCTCAGGCCCGGTGTTTTGTGGCCGTATCAGTGGTATCTGCGCCACCTTCACAATATGGATTGTCCTAGAGGCCAGCTTTACTGCTCCAGCTGTCATGCCGCAGTGTTCTCAGTCTCAGTTACTTGGCTGTAAAATGGAGTGTGGGTCCCCTGGGCGAGGCGACTCCCAAGACATTACTGTTAAAGGCTTTGTCATGACCTGCTGCCACTGACTAAACTATATATCACCTCTCTTGCTCAAACCAGCTGGATTCTGCTCACGTCTTTATGGCTCTGAGTTCTCTCTCTTTCTCTCTCTTTCTCTCTCTCTGTCTCGTATATATTTGTACGGCTTTCAGGCTGTTGTGTTTCTCAGTCTTTCTCGCCTTTTCTCTCACGTTACAGACACACGCACAATCTTGCATTCAATCATACTTTTGCACAGCAGACCTGGATGTTTCTTTTCTTATCCACATTTGTCAGAAACAATCTAAATTGTGTGACACGACCAACCTTGAGCTAGTAATGTCCAAACTTTTTGCTATTTGGGTAAAAATCAATCTGAGAGTGTTCGCAGGTACATAAATAAACCTTTTTTTTATCATTAAGAAGGTAAAATAAAAACATATATTAGTGTTATTTTTGATTCCGTTCCTTCTAAATCACCTTCTTATAAGAAAATGTTATAGATTTTTGTGAGTTTCTGTCCTCTTGGTCTAGAACATTTTTTCAGTCTAGAATCAGTAGTGAGAATATGAGCCAGCCTTCTAATTTAAAATGAAAGCAAAAAGACAAACAAGCAAAACCCTTAATTAAAGACTCACAATCACATACCTACAATTTTTCATTTTAATTATTTTAATTAGGACCGGAACTCTAACGCTTTCATGTCAAGTAATTAATTGCATAGATTTTAAAATGTTAAAAATGTTAACACAGTTAATCACTTCCCTCCAATGCCCCCATCTTTTTACATACAAAAGTCCTGAGCCAGAACTTTTGCATCCGAGTGTTTCTGGTACATCTGTAAATCTGACGCACAAACAACGTCAACAAACATCAGCGGCGGACGACACAGCCGCTTCTCTTAGCCCGTTGCGGGTCAATATTTGCTTCAGAAAAAACCAAAGGGACGCTGGAAAAAAAAAAAAGAAGACCACTGTTATGTTCATGTATAAAAATGAGTTTTCCTATCAGCAAAGCTATTCAAGCCTAAAATACTGTCTCACTTCAAAATGTTGCAGCTAGCACAGGTGTCCCAAACGCTAATATTTGCGTTCTAATAGAATAAAGATAATTCCTTCCATTGACTTAGATTCTCAATTGATGCTCTGCTAGCAGTCTGACCATGGTGAGCGGAGTCTGAGTGTCAGGTCATTGTTGTCTGTCTGCTTCCTCTAGCCTCTCTCACTCCTCTTTGTCTCATATCGTTTCCATTTGTCTCCATCTGTAGTGTCAAACAAATCATCAGTCCCCCACAGTTTGTCAGTCATTCTCTGATCGTTCGCTTTATCACTCCGACTGCCTCTCTGTCACTTTATCTCAGTTTCTCTTCAACCATTCATCAGCTGGGCATTTGGCTTTGCTGTGATTCCACCTGATGCTTTAGCTTCTGTAGATCTCTACCTTTTATATTATTTAGTTTAGTGTATTTGGGCTCCCTGGTGAAAAGCATCGCCTGCTGCGTTCACGTGAAATTTTTCTATTCATACTAAATGTAAGTGTTTTTTCTGCTGCTGATCATTTCAATTAAACTTTATTCAAATTTAGCTGGCTTTTATTTTCCAGTTGGTCAGAAAGTTCTTTTTTTGCCATGCAAGAAACACAATAAGTCTTTTTGTGGTAATAAGGCTTATCGGTTTTGCCCTAATCCAGGAGGTTAAAATACCATATTGTAATTAATAAGCAATTTTATATTAACTACAAAAACCCCCTGTGCATTCAAAAAAACTCAAAAAAATGGTAACGAATATTTAGCTGAGTGATGATATCAAGTTTGAAATTTTAGTTCCATGAATTGTTTTATTTATTTATTTTACCATAGATGGTTGCTTATTTTAGAACAAAGCTAAAGCTCAGACCTATGTCAGCCAATCAGAATGCGTCAAAACAATCAGTTCCTGTTAGGAATTAAACATGGTGCCAGAAAGTTCATT